TAACAAATTATGGATAACATTGAGAAGAATGGGAATTCCAGAACACTTAATTGTGCTCATGAGGAACCTATACATAGACCAGGAGGCTGTCATTTGAACAGAACAAGGGGATACTGCATGGTTTAAAATCAGGAAGGGCTTGTGTCAGGGTTGTGTCCTCTCACCATGTTTATTCAATCTGTATGCTGAGCATATAATCCAAGAAGCTGGACTGTATGAATAAGACCATGGCATCAAGATTGGAGGAAGACTCATTAACAACCTGCAACATGTAGCCAGCACAAACCTTGCTTGCTGAAGTGAAGATGACTTGAAGCACTTACTGATGAAGATTAAAGACTACAGTCTGCAAGAATTAATTACACCTCAACATAAAGAACACAAAATCCTCAAAACTGGAACAATAAGCAGCATCATGATAAATGGAGAAAAGACTGAAGTTGTCAAGGATTTCATATTATTTGGTTCCACAATCAACACCAATGGAAGCAGCAATGAAGACATCAGATGACGTATTGCCCTGGGAAAATCTGATGCAAAAGACCTCTTTCAAATGAAGACTAAGGTGCACCTAACCAAAACCACAGTATTTTCAGTCACCTCACATACATGTGAAAGCTGGACAATGAATAAGGAAGAGCGAAGAAGAGTTGATGCTTTAGAGTTGTGGTGTTGGCAAAGAATACTGAAAGTACCGTGAACTGCCAGAACAATGAACAAATCTGTCCTAGAAGAAGTGCAACTGTAATGCTCCTTGGAAGCAAGAATGGATAGACTTCATCTCACCTAGTTTGGTCATGTTGTCAGAAATGACCATTCCCTAGAGAAGAATATCATGCTTGGTAAAGTGGAGGGTCAACAAAAAAGGGGAGGGCCCTCAACAAGATGGATTGACACAGTGGCTGCATTTATGGGCTCAGGTATAGCAAGGATTATGGGATTGGCACAGGACCAGGCAGTATTTCGTTCTGTTGTACCTATGATCACTATGAGTCAGAGCCAACTCGATGGCACCTAACAACAACAGGTTTAGTGAAAAGTGACACATAGCCTCTCAACCAAGTCCAGAGTTAGTTTCTAGATTCCAAGCTTCTTGCTTTAAGAGGAGCCCTAGAATTTATGGAGAAGGACACTGCAAGTTCATAATATGAACATAAACTCTTTTTCCTTTCTTTAAAGAAAGCTATACAACTTAACCAAAGTAGCTATGTGTTTTTGTTCTCTAGTGTTGCTCTAACAGAAAATACCACAAATGTATGGTTTGAACAAATAGGGATTTATTCTCTTACAGTTTAGGAGGCTAGAAGTCTGAGTTCAAAGGGCTAGGGCCTTGAAAAAAAAAAAGGGCCTTCCCCTTTTTTGTTGATCCTCCACTTTACCAAGCATGATATCCTTCTCCAGGGAGTGGTCCCTTCTGACAACATGACCAAACTAGATGAGACGAAGTCTGGCCATTCTCACTTCCAAGGAGCATTCCAGCTGCACTTTTATTTATTTATTTTTTTTAAATTGTGATTTGGGTAAAGTTTACAGAGAAAATTCACTTTCCATATAGCAGTTCACATACACTTTGTCTCATGACATTGACTACAATTTACCACAATGCAACAGCTCCCCTCCCACTTCCTCACCATAGTTACCTTTTCCCTGTGTCCATCCCTTCATGCACTCCTGCCCCCTGAGCTGTCTCCCTGTGCATAAACAGCCCTTCTTTCTCCCATGATTATTCTCTCCAAAGAGTATATCTACTTCAGGCAAATTTTCAACTCATATGCCTGTCTTTGGCTGGAAGCCACAGTTGTGGGTTCAATTCCAGACCTGAAGGGCAGCTAGGGACCATACTCTCAGTGATCCCACCAGGCTCTATCAGGCCAGCAAACCTGATCCCTCTTTTTTTTTTTTTTTTTTTTAAATGATTTTGAGTTTTGTTCCACATTGTTCTCCCACTCTATCCAGGATCTCCTACATAGATCCCCCTCCGAGGGATTGACAATGGTAGCTGGGCACCATCTAGTTCTTCTGGTCTCATAGTCATATAGGCTAAGGATTGCATAGTGTACCAGTTGTTTGGACTAATTGTTTCCATGAATCTCTGGTTTTCTTCATTCTTCTTTGCTCTGGATGAGGAGAGACCCATTGTTGCATCTATATGGCTGCTTGCAACCTTTTAAGACCCCAGTCACTACTCACCACAGTAGGAGGTGGAACAATATTTTGTGTAGTGTGTTATGCCAATTGACCTTGATGTCCCCTGCGACTATGGTCCTGAGCCCACAGGTTCAACTACTTGCTCCTTCTGGGTAGCTGGCTGTGGCCAAGAAATGACCACAACCTTGTCCCTTGTCAGTTCTACTATACACCTGGGAATTCTTACAGAACATACAAATACACTTGTAGAAACATTGTCTGCCAACCCTATACATGGTCATGGGCACACTACCCCCTGCACAGACATTCCTAATAGTTCAGCCTGTCCACCCATCTATCCACCCATATAGCCATGTTTGCCTTCACTTACAACACAGTACTGTATGTGCAAAAGGGTTCATCTTTGTTGTCTGTACCTCCCATGTACTTCTCTATGCCTTCCTCTTCCTCAATGGCACCATGTTGATCACTCACATTTGGTACATTGCCCTTCTCTTCACCCAAATCAATCTTGTCTCTACCTATCTAACAGTTTTCCCTACCCTATCCTCCCACCCCTGGTAACCAACAAAGAAAACTTCCTTCCATATATAAACCTTTCCTTGACTTGTTATAATAACGGACTAATACAATATTTGTCCTTATGTGATTTACTTATGTAACTCAGCATAATGTCCTCCAAGTTCATTCATGTTATGCAGTGTTTTGCAGATTCCACGTTATTCTTTAGGGTTGCATAGTATTCCATTGAGGAGCTCTGGTAGCATAGTACCTAAGGCACTTGACTACTAATCAGAAGGCTGGCAGTTCAAACTCACCAGCCACTCCTCAGAAGGAAGGTGGGGCAATCTACTTCTGTAGTGATACTGCCTCGGAAACCCAAGGAGGGGTCGCAGTGAGTCGGGTCCAACTCAATGGCACATAACAAGAACAACAGTATTCCATTGTGAGTATGTACCATAGCTTGGTTATCCATTCTTCAGTTGATGGACACCTAGGTTGTTTCCATCTTTTGGCTATTGTAAATAGTGCTGCGATGAACGTGGGTGTGCATTCCAGCTGCACTTCTTCCAGGACAGATTCGTTCATTCTTCTGGCAGTCCACGGTACTTTCAGTATTCTCTGCCAACACCACAAATCAAAAGCATCAACTCTTCTTCACTCTTCCTTATTCATTGTCCAGCACTAGGGGTTGGGTGAAGGCCCCTTGAGCTTGGGCTTTAGCTCTGCCTCTTTTTCCTGGCCCCCTGAAGCTGGAGCCATTGCTTAACTCAAGCAGCTGCTGACTGCTGAGGTTGAAAAACCCAAGGTCAACAAGTAAAATGGTCCCCAGATTATCAAGCAACATGGCAGGCCTCTAGTTCAAGTCCCAAAACAATTTTAAGACCAGCAGACAACATGGCATGCCACTAAGATGAAGACTCAGCCAAATGCAGGATCCAGGTGTGCCAAAAAGCTAGAGACCTTTCTCAAAGCTGCTTCTTATATACTGGAAGCAGACTACATCTCTTAGGCAGCTACTCAGCTGCTAACAGTAGATTTCACAATCTAGTTGATTACCAGTCTCATCCTGGGGAATAACTGTATCCAGCTGCCCAGCCACTCAAAACCAGGCCCAGCTAAGTTGACACATAACCTTCACTACCACACTATGTCACATAAAAAGGAAACTATTAGATTTTTTTAGGGATTTTAAGTGCTGGCTCTGAGCTAACATAATCCCTGGGGATCCAAAACATTGTAACAGTCCATCCAATGATTGTGAAGATGGTGTAGGACTGGGCAGTGTTTTGTTCTGTTGTACAGAGGATCACTGTAAGTCAGAACCAACTCAACAGCACCTAACAACAACAATTAATTAATTTGAATTGAGAATCTCATCAAGCCATGTAAGCCTATAACCCAGAAACCAAATCCATTGCCTTTGAGTGAATTCTGACTCTTGGCGACCGACCCTACGTGTGTCCGAGTAGTACTGTACTTCATAGGGTTTCCAATAGCTATAATCTTACATAGGTATATCATCTATACCTCTTTGTTTTTCTCTTGTTTTCTAGGTTGGTTTCGAGCTCAGAGGATACAAACAATCTAGTGTTGACAGATAGAAAAGGAGATCTGAAGTTTCATATTACTGCAGACCCATTCAAGGTAGACTTGGTGTCTGAAGATGTTGTGATGAGCATAAACTCTGTGGGCCAGTTATACTTTGAGCATTTACAGATCCCTCCAAAACAAAGGTATTTGTGCACATTTCTTGATAAATAAAGAAGTTAAGAAAACTTCATTGGGTTTAACATATTCACAATAGAAAATTGGTTTGCCTTATTTGCCAAGGTATTGTTCTGAGAAATTTCATCTTTTAGCCTGTGCAGGTGAATGCAGGCTTGATGAAAAGTATTGGTTCCTGAACTTTTTGAATGTGACACTCTTACCACATCTTGTATGTTTGATTAATAGAATCCTTAAGCCACCACATCCCACCAAAAAACTACTGTTGACAAATGTTAATGTGAACTGAAATGTCCTCAGAATTTCACTTTACCCCCTTACATATGTACTCATATTATTATATGAGTACATAATTGTCCAGGAATTTATAGGTACTAACAACTTGATCAAATTTGTGTGGGAGGCAGTAGTGAAGGGAGGTTCTTCTATTTTTACTAATGTTTTTAAATCCTCCAGTTTGTGCTTTCTATTTTTATAATAATAATGAACATATTATATCCTTTGCAGAAAGCAATTCACATTCTATGTGTTCACATATGTTGTTGTTGTTGTTAAGTGCCGTCGAGTCGTTTCCGACTCATAGCGACCCCATGCACAGCAGAACAAAACACCGCCCGATCCCGCGCCAGCCCCGCAATCCCTGCTATACTTGAGCCCATCATTGCAGCCATCGTTCAATCCATCTCGTTGAAGGCCTCCCCCTCTTTCGTTGACCCTCGACCCTACCAAGCATGACATCCTTCTCCAGGGAATGGTCCCTTCTTACAACATGACCAAAATAGCGGAGCCGAAGTCTGGCCATTCTT